GGATGTATTAATGATGACTGTCAGATAGTATGCAATTGCTGGTAGACTCTCATTTATGAAACACTGTGCAATGCCATCAGCTCCTACGGAATTTGTTTTTCTTAAGTGTTTTACTTTTAATATAATTGTTTCTACTCCTACTGGTTGCGGTCTGAAAAAGTTTGTTTTAGGCCTTGTTTCATTTATGTTGCGTAGATGTGGGGAGGCGGTTGTCTGTTCGTAGGAGAGCCTACCGACTTCTGCAAAGAAGTTATTAAAGTGTTCTATATCATTTAAGGAATTTTTGGAAATGTCTGTGTTTTGTTTCTTATTTGGCACTAGTGTCTTAACCAGTTTCCATGTTTCGGCAGAATCGTTTCTGCATTCATTGATCTTACTTTTGAAATAATTTATTTTCGCACTATGAATAGGTGTTTTCACATTCCTTTTCTTGTGTTTATATTCAGCCTGAAGGGTGGTGTCATATCTGTTTATCTTGAGAGCTTTCTGAGTATTATTTCTATCATTTATGGCTCTCTTGATGTTGTCATCTATCCAGGGGGCGGGAGGACGTTTTACTGTTTTAGTTTTAATAGGGGCGGAGGCGTTTATGCTATACTTTATCACTTCTGTTAAAGTGGCAATTTGTCTGTCAACATTATCTGTTGCTTAAATATCTAATAGCAATGATTCGTTAGCTATATGTTCGCAGAGTAATTTAGGATCGTAATGGGTTAGATCACGAGAAGTTTTGGTGACTGGTTGTCGCTTTGGTTTTTCTATATTTATCAAGGTTAAAAGCTCGTGATCTGCAATTGGGCATGGGAATGTAGAGGTTAAGAAACCAAACTGGATTTTATCTCTTTATTGTTAATGAGCCAAGCACAAGTAATGTCAGGTCAGCAGTCGTGTGGCGAATGATGATTCTACCTCAGGTCCGGCGGCTTAAGTACCTGACCGGCGATGTTAGCTCGGCCAGTTAGGGCGGTCCCGAAGCAGGGGTCGGCCAATCACAGGTCAGGTGCGGTTCTAGATTGATGGCCAATCAGGAACCGCTACAGCACTCCCCCTCTAGTTTCGCGGTCGCGAAACGGACTTTGGCGATCCTGAAGGGCTGCTGCAGGTGTGCGGGTTTGGCGTGGTCGATGGTCACGGTGTCTTCTCCCTTTGGGCGGCGGATGGTGATCGTCTTGTCGCCTCTTCGGATGACCGGGAATGGACCCTCGTACGGAGGAGAGAGAGGAGGTCTGGGATGTTTTCTCACGAAGACGTGAGAGCAATCCTGGAGTCCTGGAGGCATGTATATGTACTGCTGTCGGGTGGGTCTCGTCGGTCGGCTGCGTACCTGGGCCATTCGTTCGCAGAGTTGTTTGCCGAAGGTCCCGGGTTCGAAGTTGCTGGCTGTGAAAAGGAAATCTGCAGGGAGGGCGAGCGTTGTCCCGTAGACCATTTCTGCGCTGGTGCACTGCAGGTCCTCTTTGAACGACGTCCGGATGTTGAGGAGGACATGAGGAAGTTGATCGACCCATCTCCTGTTAGGGGAGGATGATGTTAGGGCCTGCTTCATATGCTGGTGGAGTCGCTCGACCATGCCGTTGCCGTTCGAACTGGGCGCCGCGGTCTGTAGTGACGGTTTCCGGGGTGCCGAAGCGGGAGATCCAGGTATTGAAGAAGGTCTTGGCGACTGTCGCTGCGGTGATGTCGTGGATGGGCGTAGCCTCGGGCCATCTGGTGAAGCGGTCGATCATCGTCAGGATGTAGCTGTAGCCGTCGTCCATGGGCAGGGGTCCCACTATGTCTATGTGGATGTGTTGGAACCTACTGTCTGGAATAGGAAAGGTTTGGAGGGGGGATTTGGTGTGCCTGTGGATCTTGTTTCTTTGGCATTCGATACAGGAACGACACCACTGCCGAACGTCCTTGTTGATGGCGGGCCAGACGACCTTGCTGCGGATGAGGTGTTGGGTGGCCCGGATGCCGCGATGCTGGTGGTAGGCATCGAAGAATCGCCGGCGGAGGGAAGGCGGGATGTATGGGCGAGGGTAGCCGAGGGAGACATCGCAGAGAAGGTCGTCGCAGGAGTTCGGGATTTTGACTCTCTCAAGGTAGAGGGAAGTCTGGCCTCTAGGAGTGGAGTCAAGGACGTGTCCTGGCGTTGCTCTCTGCTTACTAGATGGTAGTCCACTGCGTCGTCGGCGAGAGTCGCAGCAGATATGGTCACCCTCGACAGAGCATCGGCGGCCTCATTGTCCGAGCCCCGAATGTGGCGGATGTCCGTCGTGAACTGGGAAATGAAGTCCAGGTGGCGCTCCTCGCGAGAGGATTGGCGGCGGGTCCTCGAGTGTAAGGCGAAGGTGAGGGGTTTGTGGTCCGTCAGGATGTGGAATTCCTTAGCCTCCACAGACGGCTGGAAATGCCTCACGCGGAGTATGCTGCCAGGAGCTCCCTTCCGAAGGCACTGTACCGTGACTGGCGTGGCGACAGGGTCTGCGAAAAGAAGGCAAGGGGTTGCCATTGCTTA